TTATTTTATTACAAAAAAAAATATATATATATATTCATGTAATGGATTTTCAGTGTAAATAATAAGGAGTATATTGAGGAGTTAGTAGACTTAATGCAAGCTAATGTAATAAACCAACTAACACTAAGAAGACTATTAAATGAATTAATCAATGAACCAAATAAAATGCCTAAACAGGTAAAACTAGTTATTGAAAAGTATTAAAATTATTTTACATTTTATATACATTAAAGAATTTTATTAATTTTCTTGACTATATATAGATTGTTGAAGAAAATAATTGGTTTATGATATCAAACGAAAAAGAATTGGAAATATTATGCTTAAAAATTCTTGAAAAAAATCCTGGACTAGTCAAAAAATATAAAAAGGGACATAAAAAGGTATTTAAAAAATTCCTACACGAAACAATTATAATTTCAGATAGACGTGCAGATATGTCACAAGTTATAAAAATTATGACAAGGTTACTGAGTTGATTTTTAAATATTTCAATGCCGTTTTTGTAGTATAAGTGTTTTAATAATAACTTTTTAAATAATTGATTGTGCCTATTTTTTTTAAATTATTTACACATCACCACATTAATAATATTATACGAAATATATAAGCAACTTTTCTAGCATTTATTTTTTATAAATTGCAGTCACAAATATAAAACTAAATGAGAAATAAATATCTCTGGTTTAACAAACAGGAGACTATTTATCTCTTGTGTAATTTCAAAATTTAGTTTGAACCAGCACAAAATTTTATTTTTAACAGTGTTAATTATCTTATAAAATATTTCACAAAAACGTCAGACCACATTCAGTGACTTTCATCTACGTGATACCTGAGGGTGGGACATGTTTATTATAATCATACAAAATATAATAACAGAGACAATCTTTATCACATCAATGAATTTGGAAACATTAATTCATTTTATACTATTTATGTGAAATTCAAAATATAATTTTGTAAATAATACTATGAAGATGTGTTGATACAAAATGAATAGTGAAAATGTAGACAAGAGTTTAAAAATAATCATTACGATCTTTTGGGAGTTGAACATTGTGTAAATAATGTATTTCTTTGCATGTTCTATTTATAGTTATCATCAATATTATATCTAAAGCAAATACGTAATTTTCAAAATTTTAGTTAAACATACAAATATTTGATAAAGATTGAACTGCTTATCACAAATTGTACAAATGAATTTTTTTTAATATTTATACAATAACGAACATTGTATATTGTGATGCTAATTTCATCCAAACATTTTTCAAATACAATAAGCACATAGCTATTATATAATACAATGAAAGTATCTATATACTAAACAGTTACGCAGAATTGTTATTTTGTAACAAACATCATTATGAAATAACTATTTCAACTTATCTTTGTACAATTCTTTACAATAACATCATTAAAAAACATGTCACCCATACATTGTCATTTGTTCTTTTTTTCATTACCTATAAATTTATAATTTTTATCAAAATTAAAACTTCATTACAAATATTTCTATTTAAAAAGTAAGAAACCTTCTTTTCAATCAAATACATTAAATTAGTTATTAAATGTAATAACACAGTTTCCATCGTTGATACTAGTTATTAGAAACTATATTACCTTCAACATTTCTCATGTATTAAAAATTTCAGTTGCTTGAATTATATTTTGTTAACAATGACTTGTAAAATAATATTAAAACATACATTGTTTATTGCATGAATTTTATGTTTTCTGCAAAAATGGCAATGATGGAAGGATTATAAATTGCAGTCTTCCAGGAAAGGCCACTTGAATAGCATGAAAATCATCCTCTTAATTCACTTCTTTTTATTGTTCTACTTAATTTTGTAATACGTTACGAAAGTTTTCGTTTGCATTACAATTATGGAAACAAGTTTATACAATAAATTTGATATATATTTCTGATGTGTTTTTTGAAAGTAAAAAATTTTTCTTATTAAACTCTAAAATGCCACGTTATCATTATCCATTACATATTTACAAAATGTCCTTATAAAGAGTCAACATTAATAACGTGAGTTATTTAAAAAAAATTGTCATAAAGAACATTTGTTTTTTATCAAATTGAACGAAGTACATTTTGCTTCATAAAGCGCCGGCTCTAAAATGAACCATTCAATTTATCTTCGAGAGGAAGAGTTAAATGTGAGAAAGTAAAAATTCTAAATCCTTTATAGTCAACTATTCACAATTCTAAGAATAGGAGCAATGTCTCTCTTCGCTCTTGGCACAGCCACGCGAGTAATTTGTTTGATAATAAATTAAATTACTAGCATTAAGAATAAATTCATCAATAATGTGATGATGTAATATACATTGTAAGAATACTAGAAATAATGATCATGATACTTTATAGCTAAAACAATTCATTCAATGCAATTGTAATGCAACATAAGAAACGCTATACGGCCTTCTTTTAAGACTATTAGAGTTATTTGGACAATTTGCTGATTACTCTGATCAAGGCACCGTTTTCATCTTTTAGCCTCTGGTTTTCACATTTCAATTGGTCCATCACCTAGAAAAGAAGAATGTAAAACCACTTTATGTCAATTTCAAATCATATTTTTTTACTAAGTAGAATAAATTAAATCAAATAATAATAAAAAAAGAGAAATACAAAGGCAATGCCATTATAGATTGGGTCAAATAAACGCTCACAAAATTACAAAGAGAGAGAGAGAGAGAGAGAGAGAGAGAGAGAGAGAGAGGAGAGAAGGAAAAAATAAAAAATAACTTAAATAAAGGTAAATCGGAAACAAGCGGGTATTGTTGCAAGTGGACTATTTAGAATTAAAATAATGTAACAATGAGGTGCATTAAAACTAAAAGAGCAATATAGTATGTAATGAGGTGCATTAAAGCTACTTTTTAAAATCTATTTTTTAATTTATATATTTGCATTTTCGATAATGTGTTGTATGCTTTCTTAAAATTTTGATATCATGTGCATAAATAAAATATGAAAGCCAAAAAACAGTAATTACAGGTAAAGCAAATTCTAACATACACCCCAACATTTTATTTTGCCACATATACTTTTTATCATCTTTTTTATAGCTAATATTTTTTTTATTACATTCTTTGTTCAC